TACCATGTTATATTCATATATTATATTTGTGGAGATTTGCAATAGAGATAGCTGTGGTTTGACCTGGGAAACAGTAGTTGACAGAACAATCCACAAGGTCCATTTAATAGCTGTTCTGGAGCTTTTGAGCATATTACATTCTTCCTTAGCAGGTGGACTTTGTCAAGTTGTCATGGAATTGTAAATGCTAAAATTTTAATGTTTACAGATTTTTATCTGCAGAGGTGTGATTAAAAGCTTCACAACAGCTGTTAAATGTTGCATTTTGTCAGCTACTAGGATGTTTTCAGTTGTTTTGTTTGAGACATGGAGAAATGCACCTTGTTTGGACCTACAAATATGTGAACATCATACAGTCCTTCAATTATGCTCCTGTTGCATTTTAAACATGCCCAGTGGTATCTGGAAACTTCCAGTCCAGTTAGAATGAAAGTTTTTGGGATTGGAATGTCACATGGAGGTGTTTTGAAGTTAGGGAAGTTGATTCACTTCCAACGCTGACCTGAGTGACGATCCTATGTGACTCACTTACAACAGGCTTTGCATACAACCAGAGGGAGAAGATGCATGTGGGGGTGGATGGGCTTCCCCGAAGTATTTCCATCATGTGCCAGGCCTGGTCGTCTGGCGTGTGTTATGAAAGAAAACCTAGACTGGTGAAATCACCCACCATATAATTTACTTTTTTAGCATGTGACTTATTAACTTCTTTAACACACTAAATGCCTTTTACAGATTTCTGCTGGGAACAAAAGGCCAAGTGGCACGTATGCAGCTGGGATAAAACGGAAAGCTGAATTTCTAAACCAAAATAGGAGCTAATGGCCACCAAGGCTTTTTTAAGGACGGAAACTTGTTTTGTTGAACAGTCTCATAAAGAATATCAATCACTGTAAAATAAAGATTTTTCTCATAAAGGAGCCTCCGTTATGTCTGAGGGAAATGTTGCAGTGATATACAATGTTTTCTGACTCTGTTCTGAAGCTGCAACAGAGAAATATACAAGCAAAAGAAAAGTTATTCAAATTGCAGATTCCAAATAAAAGTTACTGAATGTTTTACAAAGAATACAGAAATACTTACTTCTTTAAAAATATAGTCAAACATGTTAAAATAGCAATTTGATTAATATAATTCATAAAGTTCATATTTCTGAATGATGAATTTAGCTGTCACTTTCTGGTGTAACCGGGCTTTAAAAGAGCAACCTGCAGACCATCTGACTCATATGCTGTCAAAATGTGAGCAATTCCCTTATGGCTTACATACCACTGTAAATGTTTTTGAACTGTGGCAGTCATATGTTTATTTTCTCCCTTTTGTAACATTGTAATATTAGTTACGAGTCCATCTGAAAACAACACTGAGCGCACGTCTCACAAGGCAGAGGATGTGGTTGTCTCTACCCAACATGTTCAGCATCTGCCGTCATTGCCATGCTGATGGGAATGACTGGAAGGAACATGTCCAGACAGAGTGGGTGGCTACAGCCCCTTCTACCCAAAGCACTTCTCTCCAGCAGACAAACAGACACCCACACTGTGCTCCTGCTTTGCTCTTCTCAGACACTTGCTAAACCTCAGGCATCTTATCGTTCGTCATGTGACGTACACACATAACTGCTGTACTGACTGGCCTCATACTGTAACACTAAAATATGTATTACGATCATCATTTTGTTGTAGGCCATTAATTCCAGCTAGTTATAATAGTGCTAAACTGGTAGAGTTAAAAATTATGATATCTTAGACTCTGCAGCTTCAATTTTGACAATTTTCTTTTACATCTGTCTGTTGTAAGTCCACAAACTTTATGTTCCTTTAATATTAAGTGGCAGACCCTGACTGTGAAGACATCAGCAGGCACTTAGTATCTTCCCTGGTGACGCTCTGCCAGGCCTGTGCGGCCTCCGGGGACTTTTTGACTAGATTCTGGTCTTCAGTAGTGAAAACCATGATCACTTTGATAGAAGCTGGATAACTGACTGTCCACTGGTGGAGAATATCTCACGGCTTGTTCTCAAAAACTTTCTTGGTTTGCTTTGTATTTAAGTATGTATGTAAAATAAAAGTACCAGGTTAGACCCATTTTTGCTCAAAACCCCTTGACAAAAATGGGCTAGGGCACCCACTTAAGCCCCTGTTTCTTAGACTCTGTAAATCTGGACACCCTTAAAACCGAAAGTCCGCACTTTAAAGTTGTAATCCACTAACAATGAAAACTACATTAGAGATAATCTACAAAATATATAAGTGGCTATTGATGGTAAAAAGCTGACCATAAATGTGCTATGTTTGTCCAGTTGGCATTTACCACATTTCTACTAAATGCTTCATACCTACAGTACATCACTTGAAGTGGATTACAAAGTGGACTACAGTCTCACCTCCCTGTATTCTGGCACTTGTGAAGTGATAATGGAGCAATTAGAGTACACTTTATCTTGGCAGTGTGTCAGGCAGGCCTATACTGTCAGAACCTGTCAACAGAAGCGCTCACGCCCTTAAGCAGCTTGATGTCTGTTCAAGGCTCTGTGCAAAACAAGCTGACAGCAACATTAAGGATGTGCAGTCCTGTCAACTGTCAGGGAGGGTGTGGATGAAGTGATAGCAGCTGTTTAGGCGTTTCCTTCCTCCTCGCAGTTTGAACTTATATCTTTAGCATGACTTAGCCAAGTGCTTCTTGTCAGGAAATATTCTGTTACTATGTTTATTTATTTGTGAGCTTCACATACCTGGAGGTGCCCTGCAGAGATCGCTGTAAACTTTTGAAATCTTACATCTAAGTACATGTGTTTGTGAAAATGCAACATGAACGCAATCTGAATTCCTAAACCATTGGGGGACCCATCTGTCTTAAAGTATAGCTGAAACCCACACTGAAACAGTGGGACATAATTATTTTAGTGCAATGCTCCATGCAAATATTGTGTAGTTGTGTATAGTAGTATGATAATGTATGTGTATGGGGAGTATTTGTATTTAAACATCAATAAATTATCACAAAGTACCGTTTATTTTTCATCATAATTGCTGTTAATCAGACTTAAGAGCCCCTTACATAAACTGGCATTGCTGCATAAGACCAAATTACACACAAGAGTGGGGAAAGTGTTTTTGAAACTGGAAAAGTCCCTCTTAGATTACATCCCATTAACAATCATATCAGTTGATTTATCAAGGGGCGTTTAAACCAGAGGGAGGTTTGAAGTAATCTGTTGATGTTTCACCCATTTCAATTCTACAAACTATGAGACATAGCATGTTTGCGGTCCGTCTGGTTTGTCCAAACCCATCCCAATGAGCTGTGGTCTTCCACCCAGCTTCCCAGAACCTCACTCTTTTGTGTAATAAACCAACATTCTACCGACTCCACCTCGTGTTTCCTAAACTGGGCAGCTTTAAGTTCAGCGGGATGGCATGAGAGCCAATGCATTTCTTTACAAGGCCATGGTTCTGGACACTTCATGTACATATCCAAATCAGTTGCAAAGGAAATAGTTTTCCAGTTATGGTTGTCTCTCAATGTGGTGTTTACCACATGTCTGTCTTACTGTATATTTAGAGCACCGAGTACAGTTCTGAATGTCCCTACTTAGTGTGACATGCTTATTCAAACAGTTGACACCAACAATCCTGAAGTTAAAGCAAGCCTAAAGGTACAGTTTGTAACATTTAGATAGGGCCACCATAGTTTCTCCTACAGGCTTGGAAGGCCAGTGGGATTAAAGGCCTAGTGTGTAACATTTAGGAGGATCTGTTGGCAGAAATTATATATAATATTCTTAACCATGTTTTCATGGTTTCCTCACCTGAAAATATGAATTGTTGTGTTTTTGTTACCTTAGAATGAACCAGTTTTATCTGCAGCCTCAGGTCCACCATGTTGAATGTCCATGTTTCTACAGTAGCCCGGAACTGACAAACCAAATACAGGCTGTAGATAGTTCCATTAAGCTTTTTTTGTGAGTTTTGTCGGCCACCGTAGTTTCTGGCCTACAAACTTCACAGCTCGTTCTCATTTCCCAGGTCGTCAAATAAAGATGCGAGCAGTGTTAGTTGCAATCTTACTTACTTACCTAACTTAACCAACTAGATGCCACTAAATCCTACACACTGAACCTTTAAAACACATTTCACACATTCACATTCAACACATAATCCCTATCCTTTAACTGCCTGCTCAACTGTTTGGTAGAGGGCTATATTTATATATATATTTAAAGGGTTAACAACCCCACCAAGAAATAAGCTTTGGAGAAAAAAAAAAAATTGCATTTCTTATTCATTTGAGTCAATAATAACCACAATATATATATATATATTTTTTTTTACTGACCCCATAGTTTTTAATGTATAGCCCTCTACCAAAGGGTTGAGCAGGCAGTTAAAGGGTTAAAATACATTTTCTGTCACATTGACATTTTATTTAAAGCTGCAAAAATGTATGTGTATAAAAAATAAATAACTATAATAAATAACTTGTATAAAGAGAATTATCACAAACTCTGCAGTTACCCTCCGGACTACGGAGCGTTTTAGAATCTTTCAGCATTGTTTTGGTTTTATGGCTCCTTAGCGTTAGTTAGAATTTAGTATTAATTAATAAAGAGCTAGATATATCCCTAAAAGAAACCAGAAGATAAAGGAAGAGTGAATATTTTGTATAATGTGGCCAGACAAAGTACAAATGGATGCTAATTTTGTCTGTATACACTAGAGGTGTAAATAATTAGCAGTTTGTTAACTTGTTCCCTAGCATATCAACTAAATACAGTGATAATATGTCAGTGGTGTGTTCACAGCTTGCTTTCCATTACCCTCAAGTAGCCAAATAAAATTGGTTGAAGCATGTTTAAAGAACAACCTGTTGGTGCCTTGAGAATTACAGCCCTTTCTTTTTTAGCACTTCATGAAACTCACTTTCTACAGGAATGATATTCAGATGCCAAGAAAGCAAATACAAACTAAGCTAATAATCTGATGTTGTCTTGTCTGCAGGTTACAACTCCTACCTACCCTGTGGTGGTCAAGATGGGCCACGCCCACGCTGGCATGGGAAAGGTGAGTTCTTTGAATAATACAGGCAAAAACATTCACACACATGGTCTTTTATCTTTGTCACAACCAACTTTTAAAATGAAATGTTAACTTTGAAGCCTAACCCTACTATTAGATCTAACACTAATGTATTACCAGGTTTACCAGCTCAGATTTCAGTCACATGCAGATCAAACGTGTGACATTATCAGCCACATCTTTGACTGGTCTAATGTTCAGACAGAAAAAAAAAAATGTGTAGTGTGTTCCTGCTTTACTCTCACTGAGCAGATGTCTGATGGTTATAGTGGCAGAAGAGCACACAGATAGACGCACCACTGATAAGGTCTGAGTACAGTCCACCAGTAGTTTCACTCTTGATGTTGTCTTACACAACAGTCTGCTGACAAACAATTTCAGACGATCTAACTCGATTACTGGAAGTAAATGTAGACTGATGTCTATCTTCTCTGTTGATTACAAACTGAGCACTGAGCAGTGTGGCTCATTTGTTTTTGGAATGGATTACACTTTTGTAATTTATATATTTAAACACATTCATGAAGTTATCCTATTATTACTGCAAAAAGAAGCTTATTTTCCCAAACATGTATCTCTCTCACATCTCCCGCCAGTTATTTGGATTCATTTGGATGTCTTTTGGACTCGTCTGCCTGGATGGGCTTGGCTTCCTGTTTAGGAGCCAGACATGCTATAGAATTTCCCATAAGGCTCGAGGGACATTTGGCAGGCCCTTGTAGAGCAGGACCTCGTCTAACACCGAGAGCTCTGAGAACGGACAGGAACATGTGGGATTTAGGTCACTGCTGTTTTGTTTGCCTTTGACAGAAACTTGTAATGCTTTGGTAATTGGATCAAAGAAAATTAATTTAAAGTTCTTGCTTGCTAATGCCACATTTACTTTCCCAAACAACAGCTATATAATGTTACATCAACCATAACTTAAAGGTGCTATATTAAGTCTAACCGTTAGCTGCTGTATTTCTTTATAGCACAAAACAAGGGGCACTGTTCTTCCAAAGTTACTGTCAGCAGGTTCATTCAGGAATTAAGACACTAGGCCTTAAAGAAAAATTATGTAACTTTTGAAACAACCTATAACTTATAACAAAACACACCCTCACTCAGTTTGGTACATTTAGGTGTTCTGCTTCTACAGTCTTACACAGTACACTGAGGACCAGTAGTTTATGGTGGCTAATGTTGGCAAACTTCAGACATTACTTAGTTCGGTAACTTAACTACGTTTCTTAACAACTTTGTTGCTGTTGTTGGAGTGCACTTTATCGCTTCATAAATGAACCTGTCAATGGTTTTATCAAAGTAAAAAAAAAAAAAACACTATCATCGGGAGACATGTTTGTTTCCTGCTTGTGGTCTCATTTCACTTCACTCTCAGTCTGGTCACTTAGTGATGATGTCTTTAAGGCAACTGACTCAAGAAAATCCTGGAAATTTAAGCGAAAATTAGTGTGCCACTATAATGTAATTACCACTTGTGACCAGGGTGGCCACTGTTTAGCGAAAGTTACATAGTGTCAGTTTAAGGGAATGAAGCTTTTATTTAAAAAAGATAATAGGCCATGGAAAGGTTAAAAAGGTTATCTGGACATTCATTATGTTTATATTTTCACATCCTAATAGGCTGTGTGAATTAGGTATGGTTAATTATTTGGCCTTTTTCATTTGACAAACATTATGACATCAGTAGCAGAGTGAAGCTTTAATCCCAATTTTCCCATTACGTGTTTTTAAACCAGTAAGGCTCTGTCATTTAATCTGGACATCACCACTATGACATGACTTTTTCCACCAGGCACTGTTCTTCATCTCAGTGCCAGTGTTTCACCTTCTCTGGCTTACCTTTTTACTTTCTGTTTGCATCGTTACGGTTTGTTTAGTTTCTCAGAGGAATTGCGTAATTCTCTGGATGGATTTGCGTGCTTCCAGCTCAGAGCTGGACCTGCCACTAGCTATCAGATTCTACCTCTGGAGCCATGATGTGAACTGTGAGTCACTTCCCTTCATTCACTTGATTTTGGTGTTTCAACTTCTGCCCGCTTTGTGTAAGTGGGCAAGGTTCAGTGCTCAGCCTCAATGCATCACTCTATTAGCAACACTCACAGTATGAACGAAGTTAGCTGAATGCACACATTTATAATGACTTTGTAGTACATGCACATACTTTTATGCCATTTATAAAATTATATGTTACCAGTTACCTGCCAGCATACTCCAAGGCATGCTCGAGTGAGTGACCTAACTTGAGTATGCTAGTAAAGTAAAGCAGTCCCTCCTGGAATTGCGATGCATGTTGCAGTGTTTTTAGGATTTTCTTTTCAATGAAATTGCAGGAGAAAGTAAAAATTGCAAAAGTAGTTGCGATCTTTAAATTTGTTTATTTATTTATTTATAATTTATTAAAAATCAAAGGCAACTTGTTCCAGTGAGAGTAAAATCACTAGTTTTGTTCATGGCTTCAACAAGAGGAACAGTTCTTTCAATTCTGTTTATCTGACACTTATATGTACTTTATCAGCTTGAAAATCAAATATATTTGCTGCTTTCTAAACTCATGTGAGAAACTAATGGATTAAGTTGCAGTAGAACAGCATTTTATGTAGGTTCCAACAGGCATTTTCATTTTATTACCCATCAAAGTAGCAACACTGTTTATTGGACCACATTAACCATCAAAGTTGCCAGCCCTTTCTTTTAAACATTTAACTTGCTTTTATTGTTTTGGTACCATTTTCGCTGTGGCTCAGTTTTTCTTGATTTGTTTTCTCACTGTTGGTTGTCTTGTTCATTTTTTGGTGAGGGTTGCATCATTTTTAAAAGCTCCTTGGGATTTCTTTGTTCCACCCGGACAATTTGTATTTATGTTTCAGTGGTTCTTAGGGTTTGTCTGTGTGAAAGTGCATTAAACTTAAACCCTGATAAACACAGCATTATTAAAATGAATCCCAAGACCTCACAAAGTGTTTCATTTTATTTTGTGCTTTCCATTCTGTACTCCATATTTATCCCTATTACTGTAGCACTCCAACAGTTTTTACATGAGATATGGCACAACTTAGCTATTACATGTATGTTGATATATCAGTGAAATAGTTCTCACTGTGTTCAAAATGCAACTTTACTCTACAAAATAAGACCTTGAATCACGCAACTTAGTAGGTATTTACATAACTTACTGTATATTAGCATCTGAGGCAAAACTAGTGACCCTGTACACCCTTATAAAGGACATGAAGCCTAGTTAAGACAATAGACAACTGCAATCACATTTCCTTACGATTTTGGAGTGAGTTGATGACCTTTACATTCATTAAGTTCACTTAAAACTACACTTAAAGTCACCTTCAGAAGAGCACAACATTGTGAGTAGTTCAAACCCCAGAGGAACAACCAGTGCTTCCTGGATTCTCTATCTGGTTTGTGTTTTTTTAATGATGGCACCTCACAGTTCCCTCCACTTCCACTGTGTAGAACTGTGATGATACCAGTGAGAAGGATGGTGATGAGTGAGTGGAAGCTCTGGACTGAGTCATTTTGCATGTTAGACACTGAGCTCTGACAGTTTGCCGCACACCAAAGCTGCTGATTAATGAGTTTGTCTGCCAACATGTCCCGTTTCCCATGACCTGATAGAATACACCTCATAAATCTGTGTATCGTTAAATAAGACAAAGAAAAGACAACTACCTATCATCCACAGAAAACCCAAAGAAGAAGACATCAGAGTACGGCTGTTTAAATGACAGATGGTGCCTGGGAATTGTGTTGAAGAGGCCGATGCAGACTACCACTGAAGGGCTTGTTCAGTTCTTGACTGTGGACTTGTTTCTGTCCTATTTTACAAAGTCACACCTCATCGTTACCTAATTATCTAAAACTTTTGTGTCCCATTGCGTCATTTCCCATCAGTCTGTGTCTACAGTCTAATCACTTGATGGGTGTTGAGGTGACGTAGTTCACAGCCGCCCCTGGCAATGTTTCCATCCAGCGACCCTTCATTATCCCACCAGTGTACAAGCGTGAAATTCCTGTGGGATTCTAAGCCACCACTGCCAGCTTTGACGGCTCTTTTTAATTAGCCACTCTACTAACAAGTGGCGTTTTTCCCACAGATCAAAGTTGAAAACCAACAGGACTTCCAGGACATCACCAGCGTGGTGGCTCTGGCCGGGACCTACGCCACCACCGAGCCCTACGTTCAGTCCAAGTACGATATCCGCATCCAGAAGATCGGCAACAACTACAAGGCATACATGTAAGACGTTTCACACAATCATACTGTACATCTGACAGCAGGTCAGTCAACATATTTGATGGCTGATAACATTACATATGTAGTGAAGCTGCCTATAAAGCTATTATATTGGATAGCAGTGGGACCAATCCAATCCAATATTGGTATCTGGTGCCAATACTGACGCAATTCACACATCAGATATCAGACAGCACTGATCCAGATTCCATAAAATAATGCAATTTAAAGCCCATAGTCAAAATATTGTTGCACAAATAAATTCAGTACTTAAGCAGTTCTACAAAGATAGTAGTCCTCATATTCTATGAGTTAGCCATACAGGCGGAGCTTGCACTGGACCATGAACCCACCGTAACATTACATGAGACAGTCTGCAACTGAGTGAGCGAGTTGGCCAACTCAACACACCCTTAGTTTGGAGAAAACTGTATTTTAGTCTGGAAACACAGAAAAGCAAGACAGTAATATAAAGTCTAGGTGTACAACATTCTGAAGAGTGGAAGATGTGCTACATCATACAATTCTACAAATTTAATTAAAGGGAAACTTCAGCAGATTTTTACATTTCTGGCTTCCCTGGTTTTTTGACTGAACAACGCGGAGGAAAAAACAGTGTACGCGACAGTACCTGTTATTTATGGGTTTCTGGCACAACGTATGAGTTGAAAAGGCATTGTTGTTGCAGGCGTAAGGGCCACTGATCATGTTGCACCAGGACATTTTAATTGCATTTTGTGTCTGTTAAGAGGATGCAAAAGGCACTCTTTAGAATTATGCCCCCAAGAATGGTATGTATTATAACTAACTGGGAGGCTCTGGCCATTAGCTGCAGGAACTCCAGTTTGCTAGAACCAATTCTCGTCACAGTCTTTTTCCTATCGACAGTACTCGGTGACCTCTAGTGATCAAG